CCTAAGAAAGCAACTTATAAAAGAAAACATTTAATGGGCTTGTGGTCCATGACCATTATGGCAGGGAGCTTGGATTCAGATAGGAAGGCATGGCACTGGAACAGTAGCTGAGAGCTTATAGCTGATCCACAAGTACAAGGAAGAAATAGAGATACTCCAGAAGTTAATATATTTTTTAATATTGTATGTGTGGGATGTAAGAATTGCTAAATATCATACCAGATGTTATGATGTAGCATGTGGGAGGTGGTGGATGAAGGACCATCCCCAGCTACATAGGAATTTTAAGGCCAGCCTGTGCTATGTGAGACTTTGTATCAAACAACCAAGCAAAAAGATATTTCTGAATATCATGTTAGACCTCTAGATTAAAGGTGACTCAGCTTTGGGGCTGGGGAGATAGTTCAGCAGTTAGGAGCATTTGTTGCTCTTGCAAAAGACCTGAATTAAACTCCCAGCACCTGCCTGGTGGTTCACAACCATCTTATCTCTAGTTCCAGGTGGATTAGAAACCCTCTTCTGACTTCTGCGGGCACCATGTGATCCACATGCATGTGGTACACATACATGTATGCAGGCAAACACACACAAAAAATAAAATGAATAAATTTAAAAAAGATTCAGCTTTAAGGTGTGAACATTTCAAAGGAACAGAACAAACTCAAAAAAAGACCCTTTCAGTTATAAATGAGGGAAACTTGGCCTTGATATAGGTGCCAGTTTTGTTTTTTTTTTTTTAATCTAGGAGTAGCTGCAGGTGGAAATTGGTAATGGTTTGGTACTTTGTAAATCTGTATTGAGTCAGCAGACTTCTTGGGCATTGAGCCTTGGTTTCCTACCTCTGAACTGCTGAAAACTTGTGGCTTGATGATGTAGACAGACCCATCTGAAAAAAATAGCTTTTCATGCCTTGATCCCACCCTAGTCACCTTTACCTGTTTACACCGAAAGTCGCCTACGGGGTGTGGTAGCTACTTCTTTCGTGTTGTTGTGTTGTTTGGGGATGTGATAAAGCCAGTAATTCAGGACTTGATTCCTCTTCTTGTTGTATTGTAGGTTTGTTGTTATTTCAGGGCACCAGAGTATGAAATAGCTCTGGAGCTCCAGCCAGGAGCTAGGCAGTTTTTGTGATTGTAATCACATGGTGATAACACTAGACATAAACTGGACTTCTGTTGTATTCTCACCGTTCTTATTTTCTAATAGTTTAATAGGTACATTTAAGAGTTTCCATTTTGTGTGGAATTATATCTTCTTCAAGTACTGTAATCAACATCATGTAAAATAAAACGAATAAAATATTCAAATCTAAAAAAAAGATAGAGATCAATAGAGGAAAAAAACATGTGGTGCCATCTGACCTCCACATGCACACATGTGCATACAACTTACACGAACACACAGCACATAATATTTGCATGAAATTGGATACTAAATCTTTTAAAAATAAATAATTTCTACAGTAGGTTCCCAATTCAGTATGCGAATAAGATTGGACAGAAAAGAAGTTTATTTGAAAAATGTAATTTTGTTTTGTTTTGTTTTTAGTTACCCTGTATAGTCTTGGTTGTCCTGGAACTAGCTCTGTTGATCAGGCTGTCCTCAAACTCACAGAAATCTACCTGCTTCTGCCTCCCAAGTATTGGGATCAAAGGTGTGCTCCTGCGCCACCACCACTGGCTGTTTCCTTATTCTTATGCTTTATTTAGTGTGTGACAAGGGCTACAAGCCATGATGTTGAAGTGGAAATCAGAGGACTGCTTGTGAAAGTCTATTCCCTTCTGGGGGTAGAATCCACGTCTTCAGGTTTGGCAGCAAGAGACTTTGAGCCATCTCACTCACTGCCCCTTCCAAAAAACGTTTTGAGTCTTTTCACATATTGTTTAAACACTAATTTTTCCATATTCTAGTTGAAGATGGCCAAAATCAGATAGGAAAATCATCTAGGAAATAGGGATATTTGTATGGATACAATGTTTCTTTTTAGGGGAGATAAAAATGTTTCCAAAATTAAGTTGTTGGTGTAACTTAGTAAAAGTACTAAAGATCAGGGCTGGAGAGATGGCTCAATGATTGAAAACACTGGCTGCTCTTCCAGAGGACCTGAGTTCAATTCCCAGCACCTACATAGCAGCTCACAACTGTCTATAACTCCAGTTCCAGGGGATCTGACACTCTCACACAGACATACATGCAGGCAAAACTCCAATGCGCATAAATGAAAAAAATTACTAAAACTTCAAAAAAAGAGAAAATACTAAAGTCAGTAAATTGTATATTTTAAAAGGGTAAATATTAAGATATTAAGATATAAGTTATATCTCAACAAAGCTTTAAAAAAAAAAACAACAAACCTCAATTTGTACTGCACATCTGTCACAGTTACTAACTCTCCAGTCGTTTAATGGGAAATTATGTGAGCAAACATATAAAATTCAACAGAGAGTTCCTACATCTGGTTGTATTTTAGGAAATATTGATGGCCTAGAATTTACTAATGACGTATATTAAGGTAATAGTGTTGAAAGATTAAGTATTTTATTCTCATTCAAAATGTCTCAAAGTGATTGTGATATACTGGAAGGTATAGGCTGAACTCAGCAGGTGAGTAAGGAAAAAAAAACACCTCACCAAATATTTGATAATTTGATTTTGAGGAATTTTGTCTTTAACAGAGGATTTGGGGTCTTTTTTGTTTGTTTTTTGAGATAGGGTCTTGCCATGGATCCCAGACCGGCCTCAGCCTCCTAGGTGTAATACCTTGCTTGCGTTCTTTAACGTATGTTGTAGACAGAGTTGCTGGTGTTTGTATCTACTCTGGATCTTATTAAATGTCTTCTGTTTCTGGTCCTTCAGGGTCATTCTATAGAAAAGCCATATTGTTTGAACTGGAAGGATGACCAGGAAAGGCCATGCAGTGTTTTTAACTTCAGAGAGTAGCTTGGTGGTGTTATTTGTTTTTGTTCTTTGGGGGGCCTGCCACCCAACTCCCACATAAATCACACACGGTGGCTTATTCTTAATTATGAATGCCTGGCCTTAGCTTGGCTTGTTTCTAGCCAGCTTTCCTTAGTTTACCTGTCTACCTTTTGCCTCTGGGCTTTTCCCATTCTCTTACATTTTCTTACTCTTACCCTGTGGCTTGCTGTGTAGCTGGGTGGCTGGCCCCTGGAGTCCTCCTCCTTCTCTGGCTACCTGATCTCTCCTCCCAGATTTCTCCCTCTATATAGTCTCTTGGCCTGTCAGCCCTGCCTATCCTTTCTCCTACCTTGCTAGGCCATTCAGCTTTTTATTAGATCATCAGGTGTTTTAGACAGGCACAGTAACACAGCTTCACAGAGTTAAACAAATGCAACATAAACAAAAGTAACACACCTTAAAATAATTTTCTCCAACAGCTTGGTTGCTATGCATGTAGATTTATTAATATTTCTTTCCCATTTGCTACCTTCTGAAGTTAGTAACACATCCTGTATTCAGATGTCCCCTGTATTCAGAAAGAAGTACAATACATTTGGTGTATCTATTTTCTCCTACTATCTCCTTCAAAGTTATTTCCACAGAAGTGTCATGACAAAACTCTTCACATAGATTTTAGCCAGCTTTGTCTTTATCTATTTCCCTAATAGCCCTGTTACTGAGCCTTGCTCTAAGGCTGCTTTCAAAGCAACTTTTCTGACACAGGTTAATGCTGATTAGTCCCCAAACAATTGTAGAGCAAGGCTCCTTGCCAGGATAAAGAATAATTATTGGTTTGCACACGGTCCAGCTACAGTTGTTAAATCTAGAGTATGTCACATGAAGATCATATTATGTTTACTAAGATGAGGTTAAATTGGCATAGCATGAGCAGGAGAAAGGGAAGGGAAAATGAGGTAGAGAGAAGCAGGCTGTACTAGTCAATTATGATGCAGTAAGGTTATTAACAGTGTATCTAATAATGAATCGCATGGGATTGAAAAGTTGACTGAATACTTTATTCAGGTGATCTTTAAGTCATTTTGGATTGGGAAGATAATATATAGTACTTAAAGGCTTAATTAAAAGTCATGTGAAAGATGTACTTGCTAATAATTCTAGTAAAAATGATGTTTGAATAATACTTAAAAATTCAGATGCCATTTTAGATACTCTTTTTGTATGTGCCTCTTACTCAGGTCTGGGTCTGACATAAAGTTTAAGATAGACATTTAATGGACTAGAACTCTGTCTTTGGTTTCTGGAGATTTCATTCAAGCCACACTTGAAGACCCAGGCTTCTAACTCCTACATACAAGGTTGAGTTGAGGGATGGAAACCCTATGTGGATTTTCTTAGTTTTTGTCTAATGTTCTTTTTCTCTTAGAGGATCATTGTTCTTTTTTGCATTTAATTGTCACATTTTTTTAAGCTCCTCTTGGCTATGATAGTTTCTCAGGCTTTGTTATTTCTGGTTTCTTTGATAGTTTTGGTGAATACTTACCAGATATGAAGCCTCTTGAAATATGATGTTTTACTCATGAGACTAGATTTATGGAGTTGTATGTCAAGAGCATGTTTGATCTTATAAGGAAGTATTAAACTGTCTTTCACACTGGCAGTGATTTGAGAGTTCTTGTCATTCAGCATCATTGTTAGCATTTTGGAATACTATTTTTTGGATTACACCCGTTCCAATTGGTGAGGATATAATTCTTACAAGTCATTTAGTTTTATCATCATACTTTGTTACCTTTGTCTTAATATTTTTCTTGAAATTAGTCTTAAGATGTATGTGCTTTTCCCCTATACAGATAAGTGTTACAGATGTCTGACTAGTATTTATTATGTTAAAGTTACTTATGTTCTTTGCTTGTAAGCTACACGTCACTGATGTTAAGCTGTGTGTTTGACCTGAATGTCTCAAATTTATTGCTTTTGTTTAATTTTTTATTCTCATTTTCCATTCTTCAGTATCATTTTTAGTTTTTGTTTGTTTTTGCTTTGTTCATAAAGATTTTTGTTTCTATTACATTATGTAGTTTTGTACCAATGGCTAGAAGCAGATCGTCATGGCAAGAGCCAAGAGACTGCAGGTACGACTTCAGGTAAAATAGTTTAAAAGTGAATGGGGTACTAGAAATCATAACTCTAATTCACCCCATGTCCCATTGTGAATGTTTCTTAAATTTGCTTAGACAAAATTATAGGTGATATTTGTATTTTATTCTCTCAACTATATCTTAATTTTCATAAATACCTCACTTTGCTTCAAGCCTAGTCTAAGCTGTCTTGGCATGTATTTTCTATTTCCTTAGGAAGAGACACTTAATTAAAGCTTAAATTAGTGGATTACTTGGCAATATTATTTGAAATTAGGCCTGTATATAGTTTTTAGTAAAGATATTAATATTATAGCTATCCTTTGACAGTGGTAACAGTTTGACATAGGGCCCTTACAAGTATATAAATACTTGAAGAAATTTACAGTTCTTATTTGTTTCAGGACCATATTTAAAAGGTGAATTTTAATTTAAGGGGTTTATATAGAATTTCTATTTTATGTGAATCTAAAATCTCAAACCCAATCATTTTTCCTGCTTATAAATTCTAAGTGGCATATAAAAATATGCATTCAAAATAAAAAGAGTAGGTTGTTCTCCCAGCTCCCTAAGGTAATTCTAGAACTCTTTTTTTCTTTTTTCTCCCACTGATGTTAGTAAGAATAGAATAACTACATTTACTCATTTCTGAATCTTTACCAGTGATAGCAGATTCTTTCCCTAATTTCTTTCAAAATAATATTTGCCAAGACAGCTATACATACAGCTGATCTTTCTGGTTGCTCTTCTTCTTTTTTTTTTTTTTTTCTCCTTTTAACAATATAAGAGAAACTGGTGCTGGTGGTGCTAGTAGCTGTGTTGGTAATAGAGTAAAGAGTGGTGGAGGTGTTACCGAGGTAGTGGTAGAGATCTTAATAATGGTGCAAGTAAAGGTGGTGGTGGTGGTGGTGGTGGTGGTGGTGATCATCATCATAGAGGATACGTGTTACTGTTTATGTGTTTTTTATGTGGTTTTGTGAAACTATGGAATAAATTAGTTGTGCCTTGAGAAGGTTGATGGTTCCACAGGCAACAGAACAATTATATTAAAAATTACACTATTGGCGAGGTGTGGTGGCGCACGCCTTTAATCCCAATACTTGGGAGGCAGAGGCAGGTGGATCTCTGAGTTTGAGGTCATCCTGCTCTATGAGAGCTGGGGCTATTGCACAGAGAAACCATATCTTGAAAAACCAAAACAAACAAAAAAACCAAAAACTGTTATGACTTCTCTTATTTGTATCTTCTGTTCCATTTATAACTTGACATCTGAATGAAGATGTTACTATTTTAACCATGCACAGGCAGGAATTCATTAAAAGGTAAGTAGTATTACAAGTAGTTATAGCCTTTGTTATGTTCTGTTTCTGTTTCTTCTGTTCCTGTTGTATTTTACATTTTACTTATAATTGTGGATAAAAATAGGCATTTCTGGGTCTTAGTTTGTGGGCAAAAGAGAGGGTTTCTATAGCTTTGCATTGTCTGATGATAGACTTTTTGCTGTGACAATAGCTAAATCAGTAACGGGGTTTTGTTTGTTTTTTTGCGACAAGGTCTCTATCCCTGGCTGTCCTGGAAATCATTCTGTAGACCAGGCTGGCCTTGAACTAACGAAGATCCACCTGCCTCTGCCTTCCGAGTGCTGGGGGACTAAAGGTGTGCACAGCATGCTCAGCTGAGTTGTGTAGATTTCTAGAACCAGAGGACCTTTTTCTTGTCTATTTATTTATTTATAGACCTAAAGTGAAATGAAATCTAGTCTTTTTTAAACCGAGAAAATATAAAATACCTTAGTGTTCACACAAACATCTAGTATCAGCTTAAGAACATCATTTATCCAGAAGTCAGCAATTTTGAATACTGAATCCTGTGTTCCTCAGTCGCATTGACTCATGGACAGGTTAACATTTATCTCAACTTTTGATCATTAGGAAACCTAGGAGCAAAGTATAAAAATTGATATTTTCCTTAAGAAAGCATTTACTTATTTGTCTGTTTTTTTTTTTTTTAATTGAGAAAGAACTCACTCTGTAGTCCAGGCTGGCCTGGAATTCACTGTGTAGTCCAAGTTGGACTAGAACTCACAGTGATCTTCCTGCCTCTGCCTCTCAACTGCTGGAATTATAGACATGAAAACCACACCTAGATTTGGGGTGCCTTTAATAGTTTCTCTCCTGGAAGGAGAAGCTCTCAACTCCTAGAATATGGAATTACATTCTAGAAAGATACAGAGCCATGGTACTTGGCTAAATAAGTCAGGAAAGTCCAAAGAAAAATGACCATTTGTTAAGGACTTCAATTAGAAGCTGTAGTTTGTTTTCAGCAAATAATATAAATTATGTGCTTTATTCATAAATGTTCCTATACATTTAATATTGTAGTTTCCAACAAGACAGTAGTATGTAACATGTCCCTTATGTGATTTTTTTTTAACTTACACAACTCAAGGCTGTTTTAGTAACTTACCGTTTCGTCTTTGTACCCCAAGTGGAAACTGAGTCAAGTCTAGCAAGATGTTAGTGCCACTTCTAAGTCCAATTGCTTTGTGACTCTTTTAATTGTGCAAATACTGGTAAATTACATTTATATCTTTCTATAACTGTAGTTTGTACTTAATTAGAACTAAAAAGTAGAAGTGCCAGGATCTTTAATCACAGCACTCAGGAGGCAGAGACAAGTGAATCCAAGTGAGTTCCAGGACAGCCAGAGCTGATAATGGTCTCAAAAAGACCAAAGAAAATAAAAGAAAGGAAAACACAGGAAATGGTGAGATTCCTTTGAGGTCTTCTAATCCTTTGGTACTAACTTTTTGACATTGAGTGTTTAAGATCCATCTGAATCAAGCTATTTTATGAAACTAAGCTATTTGGGGGTAACAGTTTTAGGAAATTAATTTGGTCAAGGAAATGAAGAACAAATCTGATTACTCCCATTGATTTTTTTTTCCCTTGGGAGGGCAGTGGTTCAAGACAGGGTTTCTCTATGTAGCCCTGGCAATCCTGGAACTTACTCTGGAGACTAGGCTGGCCTTGAACTCAGAGATTCACCTGCCTCTGTCTCCCAGATACTGGGATTAAAGGTGTGTGCCACTTCTGTCTAGCATATATATATAATAATTCCTACAGTTACCTTTCTAGAAATTTGACAGGTGATGACTTGGGAATAGAATTACTTATTTCTTTAAAAAGTTAATGTGTTTAGTGTATTTTACCCACTAGGCAGCCCAGAAATTATGTTTCTGATTTTACTTATTCAGGCTCTTGAAAGCCTTTATGGAAACAAACCAACCAACAAAAACCTAACAAACAAAAAAACCCTATCAGACACTTTTGTGGCAACTTAAACAAAATTGCCTATTTTGCACTGTAGCATTGGGTTTATGTATAAAACTTCAATGTAGTAACCCTTTTTTAAATCAAGATGTTTCTTCAGTGAAATGTTTTCATATAAATTTTTATCACCATATGTTGAAATGTATATAATAATTACATGCCCCAATGTTGTTAGTGTACTTTGATATTTAGTGTTAAATATAGCTGAGATTTTAAAATTCAGATTCTAAAGTTTTTAAGTACAGGTTTCTTTTTCTTTGTCTTTTTTTTATATTTTTATTTGTTAATTATTTCTTGGGTTTTCAGACAAGGTCTCACCATATAACCTTGGCTAGCCTGGGATTCACTATATAGAATTTACGGAGATCCACCTGCGTCTGCTGCCTGAGTGCAGATTTTTCACTGATTGTTCTCCAGTTGACAAGTATTTTTCAAATAAGGTTGTTAAATATAATCAGAAAATGTGTTTAAAATATACATGTATATTAGCCAGGCATGGTGCTGCACATCTTTAATCCCAGCACTCAGGAGGCAGAGGCAGGCAGATTTCTGAGTTTGAGGCCAGCCTGGTCTATAGAGCAAGTTCCAGGTCAGTGCTACAAAGAGGAACTCTGTCTCAAATAATGATGATAATGATAATAATGATAATAATAATGATAATAATAATAAATAGTAAATATTTTTAAAATAATTATGTCTTTTAAGTTCCAGTTATTCATTGATTATTAATTATTTGTTGTAGGTGAGAATTTTGACCAGAGTCCTTTGAGAAGAACCTTCAAATCCAAAGTTCTGGCCCATTATCCTCAGAACATAGAATGGAACCCTTTTGATCAAGATGCAGTCAACATGGTATATATTTTTCTTTTTCTCCTATTTCTTTAGTATTCCTTTTATTTTATTAGGATATAAATGATAAATGTCTGTATTATTTAATACCATTAATACTTTAAATTCTATGAGAAATAGTATTTTTAAGATTTTATTTTTTAAATGTGTCTATTTTTTATATGCTGCATGTGTATGATGCCCACAGAGGCCAGAAGAGAGCATCAGATCCCCTGGAGCTGGAGTTAGAGGGTCAATTCAGGTCCTCTTGAAGAATATCAAGTGCTCTTAGACACCAAGCCATCTCTCCACAAACCCATAGAACTATAATATTGTCTCTCTTTTTCAGATGGGGAAACTGAGTCTCAGAGAAGACACTGTCTCAGATTTTTCACAGCAGTTATCACAGAATATTACTTGTTAGTAATACACAACAGCACCTCACGCTCATTTTATTTCTTACTATTAAGCTGTGTTTGGGTTTGTATTAATACATAGATGCTTGGTAAACAGTGATAAACCACTCTGTTTGCTTGAGGAACGGCGCACAATACATTTCCATATATCAAGGAATAATGTATAATGGGTTTGTATTTTGTTATTTTTCACAGACATCATGAAGATGGAAAGGAACTTTAAAACTTTTATTTATTTATATTTTATATATATGGGCTCAGTTATGCCACAGCATGCATGTAGAGATCAGAGGACAGCTTGGAAGAGTCCGTTTTTCCCTTTCTACCATGTATGTCCTGGTGATCAAACTCAGTTGGTCAGGTTTGGTCATAAGTATCTTTTTACCCACTGAGCACCTTACCAACATTTTCTTTTCTTTAATAGACAGGATTTCACTCTAGCCCAGACTGGCCTTGCACTTTTGGCAGTCTTTATGTCTCAGCCTCCCAAGTGCTGTGATCACCGTTCTGGGCTATAAAGGAGCTTAAATGCATCATTTAAACATTGCTAGGAATTTGTTTATAAAGCATTTGAATTCAGGTAATATGTTACCCAGTTGTGATTAAAAGTGTCCTTGGAGCCAGCGGTGGTGGCGCATGCCTTTAGTCCCAGCACTTGGGAGGCAGAGGCAGGCAGATCTGTGAGTTCGAGGCCAGCCTGGTTTACAGAGCAAGTTCCAGGACAAGCACCAAAACTACACAGAGAAACCCTGTCTTGGGGGGAAAAGTTTTCTTGGGCAGTAAGATGGCTCAGTGGGTGAAAGTACTTGCCATGTAGACCAGACGACATGAGTTCAGGGCTCAATCCTATAGTAGACGGAGGGAACCAACTCCTGAAAGTTGTCCTCTGACTTCAAAACACATGCACTAGCCAACCACCATACACCATATGTGTGTGCATACAAACAGTAATAATAAATAGTCTCTAAAGAAATGTCTCCTTTGAGGTTCTTGGAAAGGAGGAAGGTAATATTTTTTTTCAATGTTCTAGGCAGCACCCTGCCTAAAGGCCTCGGCGGTTCCCTACTAGTACTAGATCTTTATCACTTCTATTGCAAACATAATTCAAAAGACCCAAAGTGAACAAATAAGAGATTAGACAAGTTGGACACAGAAACTATTGAGGGCAGATTGAGATCTGTGATATTTGTAGTTCTTGGGAATTTCAAAAGTAGGACTAAAAAACATAAGAGATTCCATTATGCCCTGATTGTAAGGTAAGGAAATTGTTTAATAATGCCTGCTAGGTACTTCAGGTATGTTGTTTTCACGTATGCATTATGATGGTTAATTTTTCAGTGTCAGCTTATCTGGATTTGGAATCACTTAGGAGACACACCTCTAGATATGTCTCTGAAGATGTTTGCAGATAGGTTTAACTGGATATAGGTGCCACCATCTCATGGACTTGTGTCCCAGATTGAATAAAAAGTGAGATCGAGAAAGCAATCTGAGCACCTGAATTTCTCTGTCTGCTTCCTGATGGTGTGTATGTACAAAGTGATCAGCTACCTCATGCTCCCACTGTCATGTGCTTTCTTTCTGTGGTAGCAGCCCCTGTTACACGGTGAGCCAGAATAAACTCGTCCCTCCTGTCTTTTAGTTGGTGTTCTATTGCTATGAAGAGACACCATCACCAAGGCAACTCTTATAAAAGAACACATTTAATTGAGTGCTTTCTTACAGTTTCAGAGGTTTAGTCCATTGTCATATTAGCAGGGAGCATGGAGACATGCAGGCAGGCACTGGCGCAGTAGCTAAGAGCTACATTCTGATCCATAGGCAGAGAGAAGGAGAGCATCACTGGACCTGGGTTGGGCTTTTAAAACCTCAAAGCCCACCCCCAATGACATACTTCCTCCACTAAAGTTACGCCTCCTACTCATTCTAATCTTATAAATAGTGCTACTTCCTGGTGACTAGGCTTCAAATATAAGAGCCTATGGGGGCCATTTTTTTTTAAGATTTATTTATTTTATGTATATGAGTGCTCTATCTATCATGTATGCCTTTATGCCAGAGAGGGCATCAGATTCCACCAGAGATGGTTGTGAGCTACCATGTGGTTGCTGGGAATTGAACTCAGGACCTCTGGAAGAGCAGCCAGTACTTTTAACTTCTGAGCCATCTCTCCAGCCCGCTATGGCAGGGGTTGTGGGGGGGGCATTCTTATTCAAACCACCATGCTTCCTTAGTGCTAAATGTCAGGTATTTGGTCATAATGAAGAAAAAAGTAATTAATATACGTGTTTTATGTATGCCCAATGTGAATTCTTGTTCTTGTTTCATAGATGTTAAGTAACTTGAACCTTAGTCTAGATCATTCCTTTTTTTAATAGTTCCAAATTTATTTAGGATGTGAGTTCACTTAACTTCACATTAACAATTACATTTTGTTATGCATGCTCTTACATTCTTAATATTTAATTGAAAATAAATTCTTCTCTCATATAATACATCTAACAACAGTTTCCCCTCCCTCCACTCTTCCCAGTTTTCTCTTCCTTCTCCCCCAGATCTACTCTTCCTCCATTTCCCTCCAGAAAAGAGCAGGCCTCCAAGAGACAACATCCAAACATGGCAAAAAAAAGATACAATAAGACAAGGCAAAAAGCCTCATATCAAGGCTGGACAAGGCAACCCAATAGGAGGAAAAGAGTCCCAAGAGCAGGCAAAAGAGTCAGAGACACATCTGCTCTCACTGTTAGTCTCAATTTAGGGGCTAAAGATGGTTTAGCAGTTAAGAGCACTTGTTATTCTTGTAGCAGAGGACCCAGGTTCAATTCCAAACACTCACATGGCAGCTCACAACCATCTTTAACTCCAGTTCCAGGGGATCTGAGCCCTCTTCTGAACTCCCCGGACACTAAGAACAAAAATGGTGCACATATATACATGCAGACAAAACACTCATAGACCATAACTAAATAAATAAATGAGTTTTAAATTTTATTTTAATACAAGTTGATGTCTTACGTTGCAATAGTAGTAGGTGAGATTCTAATTTAGCCATCAGTGTAGGAGACTGCCTATTTCCTTAACATTGCAGCTGTGATATTTTATTGACTTCTCCAACACAATATGTCCAAAACTGAATTTTTTGCATTACTGTCCATTAATCATGTTCACTGAATGGTACAACCATCTAACTTATTGCCTAAACCAAAACACCTAGATAATCCTTAAAACTTTAACTTTCTTACCTTCTTCCATATACAGTCAGTTGTCTGCTTCTCTTGGTTCTTCTACACCTGTCTTGGTCCAGGACCATCAAGAGCTCTTTCTTTAGTTTATTAATCACTGTCTAATGGGCATCTACTCCTGTCTATTCTGTTCTTCCACTAGCTTCTGTTTATTCTGATAGTTCTCTTAGTTTGAGTCTCTTTCCCACGGTGATTTAATTTTTTTAAACCAATTTATTTTAAGGTCAGTGAGATAGCTCAGCAGATAAAGGCACTTGCCACCAAACCTAAAAACTTCAGTTCAGTCTCCAAAACCTAGACTGTAGAAAGACAGTATCAATTCCCAAAAGTTATCCTCTGACCTCTATACATACACCATAGCATGGGTGCAACCACACATGTACATACATACATGTTTTAAAATTATTTATTAATGTGCATATTTGTTTGGGTATGTGAGTGCCAGTGCCTGTGTAGACCAGAGATCCGAGTTACAGGCAATTGTGAGCTTCTTGACATGGGTACTGGGAACTGAATTCTGGTTCTCTGCAAGAGCAGTATTAATGACTTAATGACTAGGCCATTTCTCTAGCACCCATGGTAAATTCTTGTTGATTCTTAAGATTTCATTTTAAATAGAATGTTCTTAGAGGTGTCATTTTTGCATCACCTTCTTAACATTCCATCAGGTCCCTTACTACCCTGTACCTTTTTATAGCCTTATTCCAGCTGCAGTTAAATAATTACATAGTAAGGACTCAAATCTATATCTCTCGTTATAATGTAGATATCACAAGGGACAAAAAATAGTGTCTCTCACTCCTTGCTAGAACTCTAGCTTTCTATATAGTAGTAGATGCTCAAGTGCTGACTAAATGAAGGGATTCCGTTTGCTTATAATTCTCTCTCCCCTGTCCTTGTTTTAGGTGCTGTCCACTACACAACCATCTCTTCTCGCTCCTGGTGCATCTTGAGCACACTGCATAGCAGCTTAGTTTCTATGTCTGTCTTTCATCCTAGATATCAAATCTCTGAAGGAAGGAAGTATTTTCATATTTCTTTCTAAATCTGATACAATACATAGCAGGAAATAATTATTTACTAAAGAAAGGAGGGAAGGAAGAAGATAGGAGAGCAAATTGAGCTATTCCATTGGATTTTCTGAATAATTTTTCTTTCATTGGCTAATGAGAAAAAGGATATGGAATGTTGGAATTATAGATATGGAAAGGGGGATTGCTAAAACTCAAGCCAAAAATGTAATGCCAGCACTTGAGAAGGAGAGGCAGTCAGGCTCATTGTCATCCTCATCTTCTCATAGTTAAAGTCCAGCCTGGGCTATGTGAAACTTTCAAAAAACCAACCAACCAAGTAAATAAATAGGTAG